AATCTTTCACAACATGACTATTATGCAAGTGTTTTGCATGGCTACCATATATAACCTATATTGAATTGCTTGCCTTCTCAAAGAGGGTGGGTCGGGGCAAAAGAGGGGAAAGAAAGTGGAACTCAAAATTTTAAAAACGAATGTTAAAAATTGTTTCTATATGCAACTGGGAAACAAGATACATAGGCAATAGGGTGTAGAAATTTATCTTACCCTACAGGAAAATAGAAGGGGAAGGGGATAAGATAAGGAGGAGGGACTGATAGAAGGGAGAGTAGATTAAGGGAAAGGGTAATCAGAATGCATGCTGTCATGGGGTGGGCGGAGGGGAGGGATAGAGAGAAAATTTGGAATTCAAAATCTTGTGGAAGTGAATGTTGAAAACTAAAAATAAATAAATAAATTGAAGGGGAAAAAATTTAAAAAAAAAACAAAAAGAAGTGAGCAGAACCAGGAGAAAAGTAACAAGAGCAAAAAAAAAAGTGATTGAAAAAAATGTCAATAATGCAGATTAAGCTTAAAAAGTAAAAGAAAAAAAGAAAAGTATTTGACTAATAAATAAAACTAAGACCTAGTTTTAAGCAAAAACCAATAAAATAGATAAGCTTTGGTTGATTTAATTAAAAAGAGAAAGAATAAAAACCAAATTATCAGAACTAAAAATGAAAAGAGTGAACTTACCACCAAGGAAGAGGAAAATAAAGCGATAATTAGGAGCTATTATGCCCAACTGTATGCCAACAGATCTGACCATCTAAGTGAAATGAATGACTATTTACAAAAATATAAATTGCCCAGATTAATGGAAGAGGAAATAAAATATTTAAATAACCCCATTTTAGAAAAATAAATTAAAGAAACCATCTATGAACTCCCTACGGAAAAAAAAAAAACAAAAAAACTTCAGGGCCAGATGGATTTACAAGTAAATTCTACCAAACATTAAAAAAATAATTAATTCCAATACTATATAAACTATTTGGAAAAATAAGTAAAGAAGGAGTCCTACCAAGTTCTTTTTAGGACACAAATATGGTGCTGGAAAAGCAAAAACATAGAAAGAAAAGTATAGACCAATTTTACTAATAATTATTGATTAAAAAATTTAAATAAAATATTAGCAAGGAGAGAACAGTAATTTATCATGAGGACAATACATTATGACCAGGTGGTATTTCTACCAGGAATGCAGGGCTGATTCAATAATAGGAAAACTATCAGCATAACTGGCCACATCAATAACAAAACTAACAGAAATAATCATATGATTATCTCAATAGATGTAGAAAACACTTGGTCACAGTGTATTATCCTGGTGATAAATTGCTGAAATCTCTTTGCTCATATTTTATTTGAAATGTTTCCATCAATATTCATTAAGGATATTGTTCTATAATTTTCATTCTCTGTTTTGGCTCTTCCTTGTTTAGGTATCAGCACCATATTTGAGTCATAAAAAGAATTCAGTAGGACTTCTTCCTCACCTATTTTTCCAAATAGTTTATATAGCAGTGGAATTACTTATTAGCTCTTCTCACCAATACAGTCATCTAAGACAATTCCAAAAGACTCATGAAGGAATATGTTATCCACATCCAGAGAAAGAACTATGGAGTCTGAAAGCAGATCAAAGCATACTATTTTCACTTTTTTTTGGTTTTTTTATTCTTTCTTGTAGTTTTTCTTTTTGTTCTGATTCCTCTTTCACAACGTGACTAATGTGAAAATACATTATCATAATTTCATATGTATAATTCATATCAAATTGCTTGCCATCTTGGGGAACAGAGAGGGGAATGAGAAGTGTGAAAAAATTTAGAATTCAACATCTTATGGACATGAATGTTGAAAACTTTCTTTACTTATAATTAGAAAAAATAAAATACTATTAAGTGGGAAAAATTTACATCAGCTCTTTTCTAAGCATAGCAGATTCATTGTCAATGGCTCTGTGGTGTTTTAAGACTGATCAACTGTCAGCAAAGTGCAACTGGGCTCAGGCATTCCATTATTTTGTTTTCTTAGCACAGAAGCTGTAGAAAGAAGTAACTTTTCTGGGAAGCCATCACCCTAGAGCCAGGTTTTATACACAGTCTGTCTTTTTACTCTTTGATGACACTACTTGATGCACCGATGTCTATGGTAATCCTCAGATATGTCGAGCTAAGTGAGGAGGAAATGATGCATTCCCATCAGACTCTGGTAGACAGAATGTTTTTTCCAAGAACCACAGAGTGGTAGAGCTACCATGTCACCTTAGGCCACCTCTGATGCATAAGTGAGCATTGCCGGATTCAGTTGTTTCCATGATAGGATGCCTGCAGGAGATTTATATCATCTTTGGTGCTGAAATAGTGATTTTTGCATCTGTTACTATCTCATAAACCAAGCCACTGTATAAATCCTTTCAAACCTTTCATATCAGCAAGAGGCAAAGCTGGGGTAAAGAAAGTGACACCTTCAGGATAGAGTATTATGCAGACGGGAAGCCAAAGAATTCCATTCAGGCCAATAAGGATCTACTGGGTACTTAGTAGAAGATACCTTTCCATTTAGGTGAAGGTATTTTTCCTTTAACATAAAAAAAAAAAAACCAACGCTTTCTTATACCTTTAGTCTTAGAATTTCTAGAGATTTGAGAGCAGTTTAGTGAGATGAGAGAATGAAAGGCAGCAGAATCTAGGGGATACAGCATTGAAAAGTCAGGAAAAGCCAGGTCCAAATCCTGCCTTAGATATGTACTAGCTGTGCACTCTCAGACAAGTCACTTGACCTCTCTGGTTTTCAATTCCCCCTCTGTAAAACGAGGGGGATGGAAGGAGATGGCCTCTGAGGTCGTCTCTTCCAGCTCCAGATCTAGGGTCCTGTGATCCCATGGACTTATTGAAGGTCTTAAAGGAATGACTGGGAAGAGAAGGAACTGAGTTCCAAATATACACCATATAAGCTTGGTAGTGTCTGAAAGGAGACAGAGAGACAGAGACAGACACAGAGAGAGAGACACACAGATATATATCTATATATCTACATACATATATACACACATATATACATACACACACACACATATATATATATACATACATACAGAGAGAGAGAGAGAGAGAGAGATGGCTTTGCTCAGATGGAGTAGAACAGTGGGAGATAGATGTTGAACATCATTCACTATTCAGGAGCAGAGGAGCTGGATTGGACCCTAAGCCCTACCAGTGAGGACAATAAATACAATTGTAGCCTCACTTACTTTCGGAGCTTGTATACTCCCAGGCTTTTTAGTTTTTCTTTTTACTGGCCCTACACACCTGGGCAAATGTTTACCTGCATGCCTGATTGCACAATGGTCAAATGTCACTCAAACTTTTGATATTTCTTTCATAAATTTCTTTGAACTAATGGGACAGGACTCCTACTGCATCTGGGGCCATCTCCAGTCTTCTTGACCTATGTCTTGCAACTAGACTCTGATGACCCTGGAGGAGAGAGTGAGGCTGGTGACTTTGCACAGCCCTGCCTCACTTATATTCAATTCACTTGCAAGTCAAGACATCACCCTCCTGAGTTCATTGGTCCTTGTCAATAATGATGGAAAAAACAACAACACTGGGACAGGTCACAAATCAGGTAAATCAAGGAAAACCATCAAGACAAAGAGGAGGCAGGCATTATTAATCATTCAATATAATTGATCAGTTAAGCATATGGATAATTAATTCATGATAATCTGCTTCTTCCCTGCCCCAATTCCTTATCAGTCTCTGATGGTCAGGGTCCAGTAGCCTCCTGCCCCACTAATCTGAATATCTCCCTTCTTACTTTCATTAGCTATAGTATATTGTCTGTCCCCTGAGCCACTATCTTCTCAGGAACCTCTCTCTCACACCCTGCATCTTTCCACCAAATTGGTCCACTCACCTCTGAGGGTGCATGAACAAGGACAGAGTAATTTCCTAACTAGTTCCCTGCTCCCTGTGGTTCTCCTGGTTGCATCTCAGGTGGTCAGAGAAAAATGAATGATTCTGGGGAGAGAAAATACTATGGACACTTTCCCCATATGAGTGACTGTAATAAAGTGAGTGTGAGGGTTCAGGGCATCTTAGTTGCTGTTGGAGCCCCTGTGTTTGTGGGGCTGGCCATAAAGAAGGTGCAACTCTCATTTTCTGATGTTTTGATGGAAAAAAAAGGGATGTGTGAATATGGATTTATACACCAGAAACATCTCTCCTGTTCAATACACTCCTAGAAATGCTAGCAATAGCAATGAGATAAGAAAGCCCAAATTAGGGAATAAGCATAAAGAAAGAAGAAACAAAAGGTCTGAAGAATTAGGGGAAAATAGGCATATAAATGTATCATTAATGAAGATGTGAATTGTTCTTGCAAGTCTGCAAAGCAAGTTAGAAGTATGCCCCCAAAACACTGAATTGTGAGTTTATTTTGAACCAACAATACCAATACTAGGCCTACTGCAAAAGGAGTCATTGTATAAGCAGATTATTTAGAGCACCTCTTTTCAGAGTAGTCTCAAACTAGAAATTAAGGCAGTGGCCACCTAATAGGGAAGGTGTAAACAAACTGTTGCAAAAGAATATCATGGAATATTATTTTGCCATAAGACATGACAAAATGGACAGTTCGAAAGGAAAATAGGCAGACAACTATATTGTGATGAAGAGTGAAGTGAGCAGAACTAGCAAAACTTACACAACATTAACAGGAAAAAAAAGATTTTGAAAGTTATTGGAATTCTAATTAATGCAATGATAAATCTTTATTTTTTATTTTAAACAAGAAGTTTATTTAAACAACAAGATGTTTGACTTGAAGGGAAAACTATCTAGGATCATTTTTTTATAGTAATTTATCCCTACTGAGAAACAGAGATTGCCCTACATGTAACAGTTACTTACAAAAAAGTTACAAAATCATCCTTGGTTTTACAATGATAAAAGAAAAACACTGAAATTATCCAATCAAACAAGGTATGCAAGGATTTTTGGTGGGTTTTTGTTGTTGTTAAACAGTGAGAGCAAAATAACTTACTGGAATATAAAGATAAAAGTTGAATGAGCATGCCACTAATGGAGAAAACAGATATTTTCACAGAAGCAGTTTGTTTTTTCCCCTCCCCATCTCCATTTGATGTTGATCATAACATACCATCAGCCATTTAGTTAAAAAAAAAAAAAAAAACACGCATTATGCCTGTGCACATACACCAGTTACTTTATGTACGATAAAGGAATGGGGGAAGGGCATCAAAGAAGAGAGAAAACTATACTGCAGTAGTCAGAATGTGGATGAACCAAATCTTGGTTTTCTAATTATGAATGTATTGTTTTCCTTGCGAGCACAGTTCTGGAGCAGAGTTACATGTTCTCTTTCTAGTAAGGGCCTCCTGCCTGCTGCTGGAATACATCAATTATATCTTCATCCTCCATCTCCAACTTTTCAGGTGTATCTGTTTCATTGATTGGTTGCCCATCAAATAGGAACCTGATCTGCCCCATTGACAAACCCTGTCGTTGACAATAGGCTTTCATTAGTTTACCAAGTGATGTGTACTTCTTAATATTAAACTGCACCACCGAACCATCTTCCCCTACCACCTTCAAATTAATGCGGCCGTTGTTTTCAGTCTCCACGCCTTCCCCTGGCTTTTTGTTGTCCATGGCGAGTCCCGGGGTCTCCTCAGCCACTGCTTTACAAAAACGGCACCAGGATGGTCCCCTCCAAGGGAGAGGTAGCAGCTGCAGGAGGAGGAGGAGGATGATGGTGAGGAAGAGGAGGAGGAGCTGCAATGATAAATCTTAAGTTCAGAGGACTGAAGATGAATCATGTCAGCCACCCATGGCTCCTGTGAGAGTCTATAGATTAAAATCCAGAAAGAAATGCACATCTGGATTTCATCCATAACAGAATCTGTCTTTCTGGACCCTGGGTACTTATTGTGAGGCTTCTGTTATTGTTCTGGTTATAGATTTTAAACTGAATTTCCTAAAATTTTGTAAACATCGGTCTGCAGGAGCCAGGTACATGGGTGAAAGTCCTGGGTGGGAACTGTCCCTTGTCCCTCTTCAGGGGTCTGGGATGGGGGGGTACAAACCTGGCCCCCACAAAGACACATTCTTCCCACACCCAGGTCCCTGGGAGGGGGGACCCCCAGGAAGAGGCAGAGACCCCTAAAAGGGCGAGTCTGTGCCCCGCTGACAGACTTCAGGCCGGGTCCCTGCAGGGGCCCAGGAAGGCCATACCCTCCCTGGGGACACCGAGGAGAAGGACTCGGGAGGGGAACGAGGCAGGGCGTTGGCAGACTCGGCCCAGGGGGAGCTGAGGGGGCCTCCTTGTTTAACAGGGGTTTGTTTTTCTCTGGGGGTCGGGGAGATGGGGTGGGGGAGGGGAAAATGAGGAGGAGAAGAGAGGGGCTGAGACGGGGTCTCCCCGACAAAGTCCAGGGAAGTAGGGCGCCCTTGGACGCGGGGATAAAAACAGCCGCACAAGGACAGGGACAGTGCGGAAAGGAGGAATGGGGTGGGGCTGCGCTCCCCAATGCGCTCTGTACCCCCAGGACAGGAGGGACCGAGAGAACCGCTAGGCCCCCCCTTCTGGACTCAGCCCCCGACACCTGAGGAGGGGTAAGGGGAGGGGAAACCCCACAAGGGCTCTCGGCGGCCCCACCCCCCCACACCCAGGCAGGCCTGGTCAGGGAGGTAGACCTAGGGATGTGGGGAAGAGTCTGAGGGGCCCAGGAATAAAGTGTGGTACGGGGGGAGGGGGAGGGACGGTGTGAGGACCCCAGCAGCAGCTCTACCCGGCCCCTCCATAGCTGGGCCAAGATTCTACTAATCCTGCTGTGACGTCACATCCGGAGGGGGGGCTTACCTCAGCCAATGGAACACAAACTAATTATGGAGAGGACGCAGCTAACTCGAGGATGATGAAGAGTGGGGGCCCTGTGGCCTCAGGCGGGGACGGGGGCTCCCCTTGCGACCCCTGGCTGGGCCAGAGAAGGCCAAGGCCCTGTTTCCCTCAGCCCCCAGGCACGGCCTAGGCTCAGTCAGCCAGGGCAGACGCCCCGGTTTCTCTCTGGCGGGTCTGGCTGAGGAAGGGGCGGAAATGGTGCAGTGACTCAACAAGCCCCGGAAACAGAGGCTGGTGACCCCGGCAGGTGCAGTGTGGGAAGGGGGCGGGGCGCCCGTGATTTAACATCCAGGGCAGTCAGTGTTGTGTTTTTGTGGGATCTCAAGCGCGCCTCCTCCAGGAATTATCGATGTGTGCACCCCTGCAAAATCGACTAGGAAATGCTGTGTTAAGAGAATAATGAAAAGCATGGCCCACGATGCCATTTCATTCCCTTTTTCCCAATCTGAAAACTATTGACAGTGAATTGATAAAGGGCTAGTGTCAAATTCACCAAGACATTTTGAAATTTCAATTCCAAGTCCTGTGTGATAGGACTAATGTCTCCCAGAATTTCTCCTGGACATGGGTTTGATCCATGCCTCTTCCTTCCCTAGTAAAACAGCATTTAGTTTTCCCCACAAGATGACAAAGCTCCTCCTGCAGCCCCAAGGCAATCTTTTTATACTTCTCTAATGAATTCATTATCCCTCTCACCACATTGGCTCTTCAGAAAATTGTCATCCCTCCTCAAGCCTCCCATGGCTCCTTCCCACACCCACCCACCCTCTCAGCTGAGAACCCTGCCTCATGCTGTACTGAAAATACTGAGGTCATTCCCTGAGAGCTGCTTCTTCGCTCCTCCTCTTCCTCTCACATCACTCAGATGCCTTCTGCCACTGTCTCCCCCTCCACCCCTGTCTCACACATAGAGATGTGCTTACTTCTTAGTAAGCCAAACACTTCTCTACCTGCACAAGGGGTCCCCTTCCAGCCCATTTCCTCCAGCAAACTGCTCTCTCTATCATTCCCATTCTCTCCCTTACTGGCTGCTTCCCCCTGCCTGCAAGCATGTCTGTGTCTCCCCTGCCCTTAAAAAATCTTCCCCTGGATCTATCCATCCCCTCTAATGATCATCCCATATATTGCCTCCCTTTTGTGGCTAAACTCCTTGAAAAAGCCATTTATAATAGTCTCCTCTATTTGCTTTCCTCTTTCTTCTTAATTCTTCTGCAGTCTACCTTCTGCCCTCATTCAACTGACATGTCTCTCCCTAATGTTGCTAATTAATGTTGCTCTAAAATGCCAAATCTAAAGTTCTTTTCTTAATCCTCATCTTTCCTGATCACTTTGCTTTGTTGTTCACCCTTCTTTTGATGGTTTTGTCTAAGTTTTTGTGGCATTATTCTTTCCAGGATCTCCTTTTAATCAATTAATAAACATTCATTAAGTGCCTACAATGGGCCAAGCATTGTACTAGAAATACAAAGAAAGATAAAAGACAGTCCCTGCCCCTGAGAACCTCACCATGGCCACACCTTCTCAGTGTCCTTAGCTGGATCTTCATCCAGGTCATGCCTGGTAACCATGAGTATCCCACTGGGCTCTGTCCTGAGCTGCCTGTCCTTCTATCTCAATACTTTTTCACTTGGTGCTCTCATCAGTTCCCATGAATTCAATTAACATCTCTATGCAGCTGATTTTCACATTTATGTGTCCAATCTGATCCTGTCTGTCGACCTCCAGCCTTGAATCTCCAACTTGCCTATTGGAAGTATCCAACTAGATGTCCTGTAGACATCTTAAATTCATTGTGTCCAAAATTGAACTCTTTCTACCCCCCTTCCCTCAACACTCTTGCTTTTAAAATTCCTTATTCCTTATTCCTTATTACCACCATCCTACCAGGCATCCAGGCCTGGTACCTAAGTGTCATCCTTCACTTTTGACCTTCTCAACCACCCCACAAACCAGCATGATGTTGCCAAGATCTATCAATTTTACCTTTGAAACAACTCTCATATACGTCCCTTATCTCCTCTGGCAGTGCCACCACCTTAGTGCAGGCCTTCCTCAATTCACACAATGGACTATTGAAACAGCCTTATGACTGAGGTCTCTACCCACAGGACATCCCCATTCCAGTCTGTCCTAAACTCAGCTCTCAAAATCATCTTCCTAAAGCACAAGTCTGACTATGTGCCCTTCCTCTCACCCCTGCTTTTCTACTCAATTGTATCCAGTGGCTCCCTATCGACTCAGGATCCAGTAGAAAATCTTCTCTGGCATTCGAAGCTTTTCATAAACTACCCACCCTCACTTTTCCAGTTTCCTTGCACCATATACCATACTATGGGGTCCAAATTGGGGAAAAGCCATAAACAAAACAATAATAAATGAAAGCCATAAACTTAAGGTGGAATCCCAGACAGGGTGACCTGTTAAAAATCATAATTCCTTCACTGAGCCATAGCTTAGATACTGCGGCTGATGAAAATCATAACATGGACCCAGTGACAGCTTTATGGCCCACACACGATCAGTACACAAACCTGTGTTTGGGCATTTTACCCAATAACATCGGCTTAATGCCCAAGCTTTTCTGCCTAAGCAGAAACTCAAAATATCCACCAGTTATTAACAATGTACTCTATCACTCCTCCTCCTTCTGTATGTTTTCTATAATTACTACTGGGTTTTTCTGGGGCCTTGAAGTGGGGATTGATCCACTATTGAGACTGTTTCAACTGGGAGCCACTTCAGACTGACCCTTTTATGTAAGTGATTCTATTGGTTAAACTAATACTTCTTATAATCAATCTGAATCTCCAGCCTCTTTCTTCAGAATAAAACTAAGTCCTCTGATTGGGGAAACAGAGAATACCCCAGTGCACGGGGATATTCCCTTGGAAAGGTACAGAGTTCCTCAACCAGGGGAATTCTGGACCTTACACTTACACACTCCCCCAGCATCCCCGTCACCCCTAGGGTGTACTCTTCATACCAGCAACACTGGCTTCCTTGCTGTTCCTAGCACAAGATCCTTCATCTCTCAAATCTGGGCATTTTCTATCAGTGGCTGTCCCCCACACCTGGAACATTCTCCCTCCTCATCTCTGCTATCTGACTTCTCTGGCTTTCTTCAAGTCTCAGCTAAAATCCCACCATCTATAGGAAGCTTTTCCCTTTCCTGCAAATTTCTAGCACCTTCCTTATATTAATTATTTCCAATGTTTCCTGTAAATGGCTTGTTTCTTCATACTTGTTTGACTGTTGACTCCCCCATTAGTCTGTGATCTCCATGAGAGGGCAGGGACTGTCTTACAGGTCTTCATATTTCCAGTGTAGCACAGAGCCTGGCACAAAGGAAGCAGCTTAAAAATGTTTGTTGATCGAATAGAACCTGATTGGTCACTGTTTCCCCTGATGTATCTTCCTGGCCCCCTCCAAGGGCATAAAGTCCCACCAATGGGCAGGGAGGACCTCTCTAACTTGATGGATGTCTGACGACCACTCAAGTCCATATTCTCTTCCTGAGAAGAGAAGACCAAGCCTACTCTTGATAATCAGATATGTTTATGTGGAGATGAGAGGGGCTGTGTCCAGAGAAGCTGTGTCACTATATCGTTGTTGCATTTCTATGCTGTGTTAGCTCAAAGTAATCAAGAACTCTACCAATTGTTCTCTGGAAAAGATCTAAAGGCAATGTCAAAAACATCATGACAACGCAAGTGGGATGACAACTTGAGAAGATGGAGTTGCCATGGCAACCCTCTCTGTGACTGTTTTGTAGATTATAGGAATAGTTTTCCTTCAGGTCATGCTCTGACTGCTTGAGGAGGTCTGTCAGCTGTTTTATACAGTGGTGACCATAACCTTTCTAAGGAAACTGAGGGAAAGATGGAGGGCAACAGGTGCTAGACAAGTCAATACATCACCACCACCTTGTCCAGCATCTCCCCACAGATTCAGATGGAGACAGACCCATGCCCCAAAATTCCCAGAGCCTTGGAAAAACAGCCGCCCCCCAAGCTACCAGAATTGCTTCCAGCCCAGCCCCCACAGGCACCATGGAGGGGAGAAATCATGGAAGAGACAGAGCCCACCTTCCTCATCACCACCAGCAGCAACTGCTAACCAACTGTCACCAATACACACAAAAACACACAAGAGGCCTTGGAGTGGCAGCATTCTCCAGAACAACCAGCCTGCTTCCTGCCCATCTCTCATAGCCATCAGTGGAGGAAGCCACCGCTGCAGAGAAGGGGCCAGCCACCTCCACTAAACTGCCAACACATCGCCACTCACAGGGCAGGCAAGCCAGACTAGCTCAAGAACCAAGGCAATCTGAGGGAGGGAGGGCAGGTAGCCCATGCTTCAGTTGACTTTGGAATTCTTCTAATCAGCCTGGGCTGGGTGTTTCTGACATCAAGTCTGAATCTCCCTTTTTGCAAGATGCACCCATTACTCTGATCCCTGACCTCTGTCTAATCCATTTCACAAGGGCCCACCCTATATACATACACCTGAAGAACCTGCAGGTGATTATTCTGGAGAAGACTCAGGGCAGACATATAAATATAAATATTATATAAAATCGAATATAAAATCCTCTGTTTGGCATTCAAAGCCCATCACAACCTGCCCCCATCTCTGCATTCTTCCTACACCCCACACTCTCCCTCCAGATAGTCTGTGATCCAGTGACACCCTCCCCCTTGCTGGTCTTTGCACAACACCCTCCATCTCCCAACTGGCCATTTTCACTGGCTGTCCCTCTTCCCTGCAATCCCTCCTCACCTCTGCCTCCTGCTTTCCCTGACTTCTTTCAGGTCCCACTTAGAATCCCACCTTCTACAAGAAGCCTTTCAGGGACCTCCTTAACTCTAGGCCTTTGTTGTCATGCTTATTTCCAATTTAGCCTGTGTAGCGTTTGTTTGTACAGAAACAGTATTGCCTTCCCTATTCGACTATGAGGTCCTTGAGAAAAGGGATTGTCTTTGGCTTTTCTCTTTCTTCCTAAGTGTCTGGCACTTAGTAGGCACTTTATAATTATTTATTGACTGAAAAACTGAGACCTCATAGTTTTCTTCATCCTCAGATGGCCTGAATTTTGGCTCTTTACTATCCTGTCCATCCTATGTGGATACTCTCCAGCCTATTAATGTCTTTCTCATTGCACAAACCCTGTC